CCCACGCTTGCAAACTGGCGTTGTTGACCAAGCAGCTGTCTGGCAAGAGGAACACGGGGGGGGGGGGTTGAAATAGCCAATTGCCTTGCATCAGCCTTGTTATTTTTCTGATCTTTTTTCTTTACAGACGTGGCAAACCGCTCTATATATGTAAGGAAAGATACAAAATGCTTGAACAGCAGTGGGTATCGCATACTTTTGATCATATCAATAAAAGGTGGGGGCCACATTACAATGGTTTATAGATCACTAACCATTGTGCTGTCTCATCCCCTTTATTACGATTGCTCCTTGATCGGCTTAAGGGAGCGGGAACCCATTCTCTCTTTTCCCCGGGGAAAGTGTGAAGCCAGGTCATGAAGTGAAGCCCTACGTTAATTAGGTGCTGGGTAATTTAAAAACACAAAGGAATTAGTTCTCCTAATTTGATACATTATCTAAATTAATTTTATAGTTGTTGCTTTCTAATCCACTAATAAACAAGCACAAATTGTACTTTAAAAATGCCACTGAATGGCTACTGAGTGTTTTATTTTTTCCCTGATTGGGGTGGTTGGACTGTGCTGATGAACTGTATATCTGTAGACACCTGCTAAACACGTTGCTCCTTTTGTCTTTTTTCTTTGTGTTTTAAGATTTTGCTCAGTATGCATTTGTAAGTATGTAAGAGTTGTAACACTTTCAATTTGTGGAATTGTATAGAAATGTCTAAAAGATTTTTAGAAAATATTTCGCTTATTGCCAGAAAGCTATTGAAATAGTTTCAGGCATTGCTGAAAACCTTATTCATTCTCAGGAATTTCATAGATATACTCCAGAGATTAGTGAAATAGCTGTAAAATAAGTGGTTTACCACTCTGAATATAATACAACATGTACACAGTGTTGTGCCTGACATTTCAGTTAATTTAATTACAAAGGAAACCTAAGACATCTATTTAACTGCCTGTGTATATGCAACATTCGTAAAATGCCCCATGTGGTCAGTCAGACACTATCCCAACCACACATGCCCTTTGTCTCATTTCCACCAGCTGACTCCTTCAGGTTGCGGGGGGGTTGTGGTGCGGGAGAAGGCATCATGGACCTCTTGCTGGTGAAATACTATTAACTGAATTTCTCCTGCTTTTGCAAGCAGGGAGCAATTGCCACCCTTTCTGCTTAATAGGAAATTGGGGTAAGGCATTGAATTGCAAGATGGCAGCGGTCAACTGGCTCCTACCCCCACCTCACCCCCTTTGCATCTCAAGTGAAGAATGCTTTGGCCTAGAACGGAGACCAAGGCCATGCTTGGCAGAGTCATGCCCCCTTTCCACACCCCTAGCCTTTGACTCCTGGATTACCCAGAGGAGCCAATGTGTGTATCTGGTCACGTACATTGTTTTACACACAGGCTGGGAGGATGTGAGCAGACCTTTGTGTTGGGTAAATTAGGACCAGAGCGTTTTGGTTTTGAGGACTTTGAAATCAACCAGAATGGGCATCCTTGCCAAAAAGAAAACATATAGGCAGGCAGTACTTTGCAGTGCTGATATTTTGCTGCCAAAATGCTTTTCTTCTTTCTCACAGAGTTAACAATTTCAAACAATGCTGTCAGGCATTTGTGACATTTACATACTTTGGACATAATTTTTTTCTCTAAAGCCTTTACCTGGAAAATATTTTTTAAAAAGTGTTCTAGTTATAAAGCCTTGCATTTGATTGAAAGCTGCTTTCTCTTCAGCTATGGAAGATCACATGGGCCATTGCTGTGGAGGAAGTGGGATTATTTATGTAAGGATCTTCAAAGCCCTTTCAGTTTTTAGAAAAATATAATGTAAAATACATGGCAATAGATTGTTTTATCAAAAATTGTGTAAACAGACATGAACACAAATATTTGGAGTATTCCTATAAGCCTGTAAATTGTTCCATCATTATTTGAAACATTGTTTTTTGTCTAAAACATGACTTCATTTGTCACACATGAAATGTGAATGTGGTCCTCCTCTGTTACGTTTGCGTTGCTCGCCTACGAGAACCAAGCCATTTTATGAGCATTTTATGAAATATCCTGGGCATCTCATGGCATAACACTATGACAGGGCTTCTCCTCTGTATAGTTTAAAACTTCACGAGAGATAATGTTTTCAGAAAATGAGTAAAATGTGTTATTTAAAATGGAATGTTTTTGATTGTGTATATGGCTGTGAAGTAAAATTATTAGCCTTAACTTTAAAATCTTGGTATTTCACGGTGTTCATTTTGATACTAGTGCATTAGTCACTGGTTTGTTTAAAGACAAAAGACAAGACACTCGTTTGGAAATCCTACTTGAAATATGCCTGCATGCTGCTGAAATGGAAGTTGGATTCCTCCCATAACTTCTTAAAAATCTGCTTTATTAAACCTACTTGGAGAGTGTAACAGGTCCAAGCTAGAATGGTGTGCGTGTGCTGCGTGTGCTGCTGCCGCCGCTGCTGCTGCTGCCGCCGCTGCTGCTAATTCCTCCAGCGTCCTGGTGAGATACCTTGTATGAGTGGAAATCTGAGTACAGTACATTACTGTAGAAACAGAATCAACATGTAAAACTAAAACTACCATAATCAATATTGTAAAATATGTTAATAAAAGTCTACTGTCATTATTTGTGTGTGCAAAGCCTCCTCTTTTTCTCTTTCTTTTCTCTTTCCTTTTTTCACATGACGATTCGAAGCGATTCACAGGTTGCTTTGTGATAACATTCACATTGGGTTATATGTAATGATGCTTCTGGGATAGGGATTGGAGAGCAAAAGTCCGCCCCCCATTCAGAAGAATTGAAAATAACCCCCTCCCTGGCAACAGACTTAGGTCACTGCATTTTTTAAGTGAAGTTTTTGTTTTTGCTGTCCATTGTAGCCCTCATGTCTATTTTAAATCTCTTGTCTCTGTATAAAGAAAAAGCAGTGTTGAAATGGATGGTGTTCCAATTGATTGCATTTTTCAGAAATGTGGGATATACTATTTTAAAATGAGCATTGTTCCAACACGTGGAGCAGGGTACAGTGCAAAATGAATGATTGTCCCTGAGGTACAAATGGACACTTTTATTGGTTACAATTCATAATTTGGAAGTGCAAAAAGCAGAGATGTGGGCGATCAAGACTGTCTCCCCTGTCCACAGCCGGGGCTGCTTGTGGCAGGGGCAGGAATCTTGGGCCCACCACAGCTCAAATCAGCATTACAGACCTCTCCAAAATGCCAGGGATGCGGCTATAATTACGGCCTTTGAGCAAATGCCCGTATCTTCTGGGGGCCCACAGTACAGAATGTCGATACTCTCCGCACCCTCCATCCTGGTATAGATTTGGCTCGATGAGAAAGAGCATAGTTGGTTGACAAGCAGCAAGGTGAAGTTTAATTGCAAATGCACATAACATGACTTCAGCTCTGTCGATCATCAGTTAAGATTGCAAGTGCTGCAGTTAGGAAAGGTGGATGGCAACAATATGGCAAGAAATACTTCCGTTAGCCCAGAGGAACTAAAATGGCCATTGGCAACCTGGCAGTCCTCTGGCCAGCAGCAGGACGTGAGCCAGCCCTCCAGCCGATCCACCTGCCTGCTTCTGCTCCCACGGCTGCTCAACATGCTGTCCAGGTGCCTGCACCCTCTGAAACGCCAAGGGTGAGCGTCCACACTGCCACTGCTGTTCTGAAGGAGGTAAGAGAAGGCTCAGCCAGACACTCCAGTGCTGTTGAGGAAAACCATGGCCAGCTGTATTGCCAGCACAAGTGCCACAACAGCCTCCAATTAACCCTGGGCACTTGCGAGGGGCAAGATGGGGTGAATGAAGAAGTAAAGGCCATGACTGACTTGTATCAGATGCCAGGTTGTAATAAATAATGTTTGCATATCATGTGAAAAGGTCAGCGCACAACCCATCATGTTGAAGTCTTTGAAGTTTGCTGCATCTGCTACTAATGGTAAAGACAGTACAGGCCGCTTTGGGTATAATGGTGGCCAGTATTCCACAAGCCTCACCAAACCTGAGTTTTTCCCTGGTGGTGCTTACACTATTCTAGAAAAGCTAGGAACTTAATGATGCCTTGCAAACCAACAAACCTATCCACTCCCTATCACTTAGGGGGTATGTGCAACATATTGACACCCCAGGATGCTATTCCCAGCATTAATCAACTCTCATATTTTTTCAGGGTGTTTTCTAGTATAACATAAGTTGAAAATTCAGTAACACTGAATAATGATGATTTATTCTGGAATGTTTGGATCAGAAATAACTTTTACTTGTTTTTAACCAGACAATGATGTGTCCCTTTTGCATCTCCCCCTCTGTCTCCCAAAGATTCTTGAGGGGAAGAAGGATAATTACCTGAGGGACCGCCTCACCCCCATTATATCAACCTGTCCCACCTGGTCAAGCAGAGAGGGTATGCTGCAGACCCCATTGACAAAAGAATGTCGACGGGTGGGGCCCAGAAGGGGAGCCTTCCCTGCCATGGCCCCCACCGTATGGCATATCCTCCTCCCAGAGGTGAGGCAGGCCCCTACTCTCTCGACCTTCCAGAAAGCAGTCAAGCCCTGGCTCTGCCAACTTGCTTGGAGCAAGAAAAGGGGCAACCAACCCTGGGGGTGGCAAGCACCTTGAAGATGCTCCTGTATGTTAATAACCTTTCTACCAGCAGCTCCTTAAAGACACGTTTACGTATGAATATGGTTTTTATTATATTTTTATTGTATTTTAATTAATTTTTTTTTTTTTTCCCCCTGTAAACCACCCGGAGTCACTTCCTAGTGAGATGGGTGGTGACCAAATTTAATATAAATAATCCAATGACCATATGGGAGAAGTTCCTTAGAAATCAGATGTAGAAAAGTAGAATAGTTTCATGTGTTGCTTTGCCTAGTAATATATATTGTTGCAACATCTTTTTTTTGAAAGTTGGGCAGATAGAGATTGTTTGCAGAGTGACATAAAAACTTGAAGTCAGGTGTGATGATGCAGCCTGAAAGCTCACTCAGTATTTACGACTTGTTATTTGGACCTAGTAAATATGTATTATCCAACTACACTACAGTGGGGCAAAAAAGTATTTAGTCAGCCACCAATTGTGCAAGTTCTCCCACTTAAAAAGATGCGAGAGGCCTGTAATTTTCATCATAGGTATCCCTCAACTATGAGAGAGAAAATGACCTCAACTATGAGAGACAAAATGGGGAAAAAAATCCAGAAAATCACATTGTCTGACCTCAACTATGAGAGACAAAATGGGGAAAAAAATCCAGAAAATCACATTGTCTGACCTCAACTATGAGAGACAAAATGGGGAAAAAAATCCAGAAAATCACATTGTCTGACCTCAACTATGAGAGACAAAATGGGGAAAAAAATCCAGAAAATCACATTGTCTGACCTCAACTATGAGAGACAAAATGGGGAAAAAAATCCAGAAAATCACATTGTCTGACCTCAACTATGAGAGACAAAATGGGGAAAAAAATCCAGAAAATCACATTGTCTGACCTCAACTATGAGAGACAAAATGGGGAAAAAAATCCAGAAAATCACATTGTCTGACCTCAACTATGAGAGACAAAATGGGGAAAAAAATCCAGAAAATCACATTGTCTGACCTCAACTATGAGAGACAAAATGGGGAAAAAAATCCAGAAAATCACATTGTCTGACCTCAACTATGAGAGACAAAATGGGGAAAAAAATCCAGAAAATCACATTGTCTGACCTCAACTATGAGAGACAAAATGGGGAAAAAAATCCAGAAAATCACATTGTCTGACCTCAACTATGAGAGACAAAATGGGGAAAAAAATCCAGAAAATCACATTGTCTGACCTCAACTATGAGAGACAAAATGGGGAAAAAAATCCAGAAAATCACATTGTCTGACCTCAACTATGAGAGACAAAATGGGGAAAAAAATCCAGAAAATCACAGAGAACTTGCACAATTGGTGGCTGACTAAATACTTTTTTGCCCCACTGTAGGTCTTAGCCAAGTGGTTTCTCTTCAGATCATATAAATCTTACCCAACTATGATTTTTTAAAAAATCTTATGGAGCAAACCACTTCTTCTGTTTCTAGGTGAAGGTGGTCTCTCTGCTCTACTTGGTGTCTGTCATTTTGCTGAGACATAATGCAGTTGCTTGGTTCTAATGAAGGATGCTATATGAACCCCTCCAAGTGAGATTCATTCAATAAAGTGTGATTATACAAACCAGGACTTAGTGCAAGATGTGAAGCCTGTCTCTAAGAATAGATCTTGATTTTTTTCCCCCAACTGTCTCCCCCCCACCCTTACAAAATTATGTCATCTCAGCCCTTCCCTTCAGGGAATATAATCAATGCAGCCATCTCCACCTTGAACACTCTCTGGCTGAGTAGGAGTCCCATCAGTCCCCAACCTCAGGTTATGACAAATGTGTTAATTTTCAAGGTGAACTATGACACTTGACGGTCAACAATTTCTAGGTGGAGATTTTGTAAAAACAGATAGGTTTAACTGAATTCATACATTGTCCTTACATTGTGGATTGAAAAGAAATCATTATCGCAGGGTAGCCACCTTTGCATGTTAGATGCAAAATTAAGGAAGTCAGGCGATCTGCACTGCAGTGCAATTACTCCTGGCAAGACCGTGAGCCTGCTCCTGTGAGTTTTAATAAGTTGCATTGAGCTGCAGAAAATGACATGCAAATGGCATGCAGGAAGCATTAGAATAATGCTATCAAAATTAATACTAAACAAAGCAAATTTGCAGATAAAAATGGAGTGGGGGGTTGTATCTATTAGCATTATTTTCTAGTGCACACGCATTTTGGTTGATTTCTGCCTCTTCATCCTTCAGCTCCCCATTGTATGGTGCAATTTACTGCAGGGCATGCGTGTTTTCATTCACAAAGCCCACTGTGCTACTGGAATGCTACAATCTTGAATATGAAAGCCTGGTTGTCATAGCAACTATAAATGAGTGCGAGCTGTCCCAATTTAGGTGACTGGCCTTTTTTACGCTTTCCAGGCAGTGTGGGTGGACTTGAACACTAAGTTATTAGATCTGGCTATCTCTCAGAAACCAAACAGACACGTCCCCACATCCTCTATGGCCACCAATTGGCTGCGGATATCAGGATAATTCAATTTAAATCATCTTATATTTCATTCCCATTGCTCTCTTGTCACCCTCCATTTGGAATTAATTCCTAAATCGTTCTAGATACACAAAATCCACCCATATTAGGCTATCAATATTTCCATTTTACTGGTGGCTGAATATGCTATGCTGCAGGCTATGGAACTTGTGTTGAATAGGTTAAAGGAAAAGATGGTTTAGTGTTTGAACCACCAAGCAATCTTCTCAAGAAGAAGGAACCAGCGAAATCAAAGCCACACAAACTACCAGCAAAGCAGCAAAACCGCCTAGTTTAGATTGAGTCTTGCTGCCATTGGCAGTCAGAAACTAACAACCTGGTCACCCAGCCAATCGGACTTGTAACTGAAACCCAGCTACCATATTGCTGTTTTCCCACTAGTAATAATGAGGAAGAGAGCCAGTTTGGGGTAGTGGTGAAGGCCCCAGGCTGGAACCCGGGAGATACTGTAGATCTAGCTCCACCTGAGGTATGAAGCC